CCAGAGACGGCCGCCGCCAGCTAGTGGTAAGCCTGTAGCGGACATGGCACCGGACTCCCAAATCCCTCAGGGCACCTCCGTGTGCACAGACCCGAGCCGCGTGGCAGGCGCCATATTGCCTCCTTCTCCCCTCCGCCAACTCTACCTGCGGCTGCCCAGAGAGACAATACAGCCACCAGCCAGAGGCACCTCCAGGGAACAGGACCTTCCCTTTTGGGACCCTACAGCTGACTAAGGGGAACAAAGACAGTGAGCTCCCTACCCGCCAGCCCTTCCAGGTGCTGCTGGCACGGTGTTCCCAGGAGAATGGTGCCGACTCAGAGGCTGAGAGACACAGACACAGCTTGGGCTCCCTGTGGGTGATTGGGACCGGAACTCCTCCCTGGTGGGGATAAGTTTGAACTCTGGGACCCAGAGGTCGGACCTGCAGACCAGATCTCCTGCACCCAGGTCTAGCATTCCCCGGGGCACAGAAGGGATATTTGTGAACAGCCCACTGAGGTGTGTGTACCTCCAGGGGCAGATCAGCATCCTAGAGGGCAACCCTCCCACCAAAGGGAGGCTGTGCGCCCAGCCCAGGTAGCGTTTCTGTGCAGGAACCTCCCCGCGAGCATCACAATCCAGGGAGGCCTGGTGGCGTGTGGTCTGGCCTGCTGGCAGAAGCCCAGGAGTAGCTGCGGAGTTGGGGACGGTGGAAAGAAGCGGGGCCTGCTCCAGACTGGCGGTCTCAGACAGCCCCACCCCCACACCCAGACTTTCTGGCTGAGCGGGACCATTCCAGCCCCGCCGTGACAGCTTTTCCTGGAAGCAGAGAACAGAACTTTTACCCCTGCTAACTGCCGGAGGGCAGGCTTACCCAACCCAGCTCCGCCCAGAACAAGAGCTGATAACAGGACACAAAATCAACAACATAGCCTGTTCCTCCAAGCAAACGCCACCTACTGGCAGGGACGGCATGTTGCACAGCCTTTCCACGGCACCACTGACTCAATATACGGAATGGTCCAATCTCACCCACAGACACCACTAACGCCTCAGAAACTAAACAAGGTGTGTGAATACCCAAACAATAACCTAAAGGAAAGAAACAACAACTGATCGACATGGGAAGAAATCAGTGAAAGAACTCAGGAAATATGAAGAACCAAATGGAAGACACACCCCCAAAGAGGAGCCCCAGCCCCCTAGAAACGGACACTAACCCAAATCAGGCAATCAAAATGACAGAAGAGGAATTTCGTATGTGGATCATAAGAACACTCACTGAGCTGCAAAAACAACTCAATAACCAACACAAGAAACACAAAAGCTCCAGGATATGGAAAAAGAAATAGACACAATGAAGAAAAGTTTAACCGAATCCTGGAAATGAAGAATCATTCAGGACATACAAAATCAGTGGAAAGTCTCAAGAACAGGGTAGATCAAACAGAAGAAAGAATCTCAGAGCTTGAAGATAACACCCTCCAACTAAATAAAACCATCACAGAGAGCAGAGAAACAAGAGAAAAGAGCAAAGCCTACAAGAGATGTGGGATTATGTGAAGAAACCTAATGTGGGGTCATAGGGTTACCAGAAGGGGAAGAGGACACCCAAGGGTTGGACAAGCTATTTGAAGATATAATAGAGGAAAATTTCCCAGGCCTTGCTCAAAATCTTGATATACAAGTTCAAGAAGCTCAGAGGACCCCTGGGAGATTCAATGCAAACAGGAAGATGTCACGACATGCAGTCATCAGACTGACCAAAATATCAACTAAAGAGGCCTTCTAAGAGCTGTAAGACGAAAGAAGCAAGTGACATACAAGGGAAAGCCAATTCGAATAACACCAGATTTCTCTAATGAGACTTTACAAGCAAGGAGAGACTGGGGCCCATTCTCACTCTTCTGAAACAAACAATTCCACCCTAGAATCTTTTTCCCTGCAAAAGTAAGCTTTATATATGAAGGAGAAATAAAGACATTCTCAGACAAGCAAAGGCTCAGAGAATTCACCAAGACAAGACCAGCCCTACAAGAAGTACTCAAAACAGTGTTATGCACGGAAAACCATAATAAAACTCGCGAATATAAAAACAACCAAAACCCAAAGATTAAAGGCCACATAGTACAATGGCTCAAGATAGAAATCAAAGTAACAACATCCAACCCAACAGAATGAACAGTAATCTGACCTATCAGTTCTCTCAATAAATGTGAATGGCTTAAACTCTCCACTCAAGAGACATAGGCTGGCTGAATGGATAAGAAAATACAGGCCAAGTATATGCTGTCTTCAGGAAACACATCTAACCTGCAAGGATGCATATAGACTAAAAGTAAAAGGGTGGAGATCAGTATTCCAAGCAAGTAGAAGCCAAAAGAAGGCTGGTGTGCAGTTCTAATTTCAGACGATTTAGTTTTTAAACCAACAAAAGTAGTGAAAGACAAAGAGGGTCATTATATAATGGTGAAGGGCACACTTCAACAAGAAGAGATAACAATCTTAAATATATATGCACCCAACTTAGGTGCACCCAGATTCATAAAGCAAACTTTACTGGACCTAACTAAATGGATTAATAGCAACTCCATAATCACTGGAGATTTCAACACCCAACTGACGGCACAAGACAGATCCTCCAAACAGAAAATTAATAAAGAAATAATGGACTTAAACAAAACTCTAGAACAATTGGGTCTGACTGACATTTACAGAACATTCTACCCAAAATCCACGGACTATACGTTCTTCTCATCAGCTTATGGGACATCTCTAAGATTGACCATATCCTAGGACACAAAGTAAACCTCAAGAAATTTAAAAAATAGAAATCATACCATGTATCTTCTCAGATCACAGTGGAATAAAAGTAAAAATCAACCGTAACAGAAACTCACATTTCTCCACAAAAACGTGGAAATTAAACAACCTCCTACTAAATGATTACTTCATAAATGAAGAAATCAAGATGGAAATAAAAAAATTCTATACTCCTACACTGCTGGTGGGACTGCAAATTAGTTCAACCTCTGTGGAAAGCAATATGGAGATACCTTAAAGCGATACAAGTGAATCTACCATTTGATCCAGCAATCCCATTGCTGGGCATCTATCCAAAAGATCCAATGACACTCTACAAAAAAGACACCTGCACTCGAATGTTTATAGCAGCACAATTCATAATTGCAAGGCTGTGGAAACAGCCCAATTGCCCATCAATCCAAGAATGGATTAATAAAATGTTCTATATGTATACCATGGAGTACTATTCAGCTCTAAGAAACAATGGTGATATAGCACATCTTATTTTTCCTGGTTAGAGCTCGAACCCATACTATTAAGTGAAGTTTCCCAAGAATGGAAAAACAAGCACCACATGTACTCACCAGCAATATTGGTATTAACTGAACAGCACCTAAGTGGTCACATAGGTACTGCAGTAATAGGGTATTGGGCAGGGGGAGGGGGAGGGTATATACATATATAATGAGTGAGATGTGCACCATCTGGGGGATGGTCATGCTGGAGACTCAGACTTGTGGGGGGAGGGGGAAATGGGCATTTATTGAAACCTTAAAATCTGTACCCCCATAATATGGCAATAAAAAAAAGAATATTTCATTTCCATGAGATTATCTCTATTAAAAATGATATTTGCTGTTTTAACAGCAGCATTATTCCAAACAAGTTGGAATCTTTCCAGAAATTATTTCATGGATATTCAGGTTTTCCTGCCTTATTCTTCTGATTTGGTCAGCTGCTAGAAATGCCAGATGTCACCCATAAGATGAGAGATAAAGTTGTTTAAACAGAGTTACCCAGAAAGTTCATCAGAGAGCTAGACAGATCAAATAAGGGTTTGGGACTACTCATCTTAGCTTTTACATGTTTACACACATGACCCTATCCTGTAAGAATTTATTGAGTTACAAGTATAAGCACAGCAATGTACTTTATGTCATTCTGCTAATTCTAGAAAATCATGTTCACGTTTCTTCTTCTTCTTGTTAGTTTTTTTTCTTTTTTTAATTTGAGAAAGGATCCCACTCTGTTGCCCAAGCTGGAGGGCAGTGGTGTGATCATAGCTTACTGCAACCTCAAACTCCTGGGCTCAGCCACTAAGTCCAGATAATTATTATTAGGTTGTTTTTGTAGAGATGTGTCTTGCTCTGTTGCCCAGGTTGGTTTCGAACTCCTGGCCTCAAGTGATGCTCCTCCCGTGTCCTCCCAAAGTGCTGGGATTATAGGTGTGAGGCACCACGCCTCTCTTCTTCCTTGATCCTTCCATAATGGTTATAAATTCTAATTTCAACAGATTATCTTAGTTACTATTAAAGCTATTTTATGTTATTTTCCATTAGGTAGCACATTCATTTGGAGTTTCAAAATATCATACACTTTAGTTTACATGTTATGCCAATTCTGTGAAAAAGAACCATGTTGATATCTTTTCTTTTTAGGTGAATAAACTAGTCAAGTAAGATGAATTACCTTGATCAGGATCACACAAAGTATCAAAACTGGAAATCTGTCAACAATCCTGCCAATTCCACCTTCCCTCTTGTTTCTATCATTCTCAAAATGATTTACTGATTTAGAGTAAACTTCTCTCAATCCTAGAAAGAATTTGAAGTAGTCACAATAAAAGCTATTTATACAAGCCTGCAAAAATAGATAATAAAGACAGTGAGGTATGCAGGCAGAAGGTAAAATAAATAAATATGGAGACTTAAATAATGACTGTGACTAGCCATTACGCTGAGGTGACAATTCTTAAATGTAATGGCAAAATCTTCTCTGCCCCACAAAGCAACGTTACGGGGAAGCGGCGGCAGGCCTTGTGCGGCTGCGCGAGCGGCAGCGGGCGTTCAGGAAGGGCGGAGCGACCGTCCGTGTCCGCCGGCGAGCGGCGACGCTGGAGCCCCGCCGAGGAGCCGTGGGCCGCGGGCCGCCCGCTCTAACCGGCAAGGCCGCGCACGCGCACGCGCACGCGCACGCGCGCCGCCCCACTTCTGCGTGCTTCGGTGGCGCGCCGCCCAGAGCGCCTGCGACTGGAAGCGTCGAGGAGAGTCCGCGGCCGGCGCAGCTGCCAGACGCGCCTCGCACCCTCGCGGCGACCACCGGCGAGGTTGCCCCTGGAGCGCCTGTTTTCCCTTAGCTTCTGAACTAGCGATGTAAAAGCTCTGACTATAAAAGTGGTGAGTGCAGTTTTTAAAAATGAATTATTCATGGTGTAAACACCCAAGCAACGTTTTCCCTGGAGTCGTCGGCTTGAGTGTGGCGTTATTTTTGAATCAGTCTGCTTTTAGAGCCAGTAACAGTTCCAGCCCAGAGCAGCCGCCAGTCACAGAGGCGATTTGTCTTGTGCTTTTCGTGTAAGCACGCTTCGTTTCCTTGGGCTTCACTGCCCTGTGCCCCAGACACAGCATTTGGCCGATTGCGGTGTGTGGCAGCCCTGTGTTCGGCAAGCCTATCCGTTTGGTGCCTCCAACACCGGGTTCACTGGCTGTCTCTGCGCCACACTGTGGCAGTTCTCACAATATTGCAAAGTCTTTGATTACTATTACATCTGATACGGTGTTTTGTGATCAACAATCTTCAATGTTACTATTGTAATTGTTTTTGAGCACCACAAACCATGCCTGTAGAAGATGGCAAACGTAATTGATAAATATTGCGTGTATTCTAACTGCCCTACTGACCACTGGTTTCCCTGTCTCTCTCTCTCTTTGTTTGGCCATCCCTATCCCCTGAGGCATGAGAATATTTGAATTAGGCCAAATAGTAATCCTACAGTGGCCTCTAAGTGTTCAAGTGAAAGAAAGAGTCGCATTTCTCTCACTTTAAATCAAAAGCTAGAAATGATCAAGCTTAGTGAGTTAGGCCTATTCAAAGCTGAGATAAAGCCTCTGCTAGCTAGGTGTCTTGCACCAGTTAGCCAAGCTGTAAATGCAAAGGAAAGTTCTTGAAGAAAATTAAAAGTGCTAACCCAGTGAACATGAAAATGATAAGAAAGCAAAACAGCCTACTGCAGATATAGAGAAAGTTTGAGTGGTCTTAATAGAAGATCAAACCAGCCACAAGATTCCCTTAAGCCAAAGCCTAATCCAGAGCAAGACCCTAACTCTCTTCAATTCTGTGAAGGCTGAGAGAGGTGAGGCAGCTTCAGAAGAAAAGTTTGAAACTCGCAAGAGGTTGGGTCATGAGATTTAAGGAAAGAAGCCGTCTCTATGACATAAAAGTGCAAGATGAAGCAGTAAGTGCTGATGGAGAAGCTGCAGCAAGTTATCCAGAAGATCTAGGTAAGATAATCGATAAAGGTGGCTGCGCTGAACAGTATTTTCAATGTAGATGAAACATCCTTCCATTGGAAGAAGATACCATCTAGAACTTTTATAACTAGAGAGAAGTCAATGTCTGGCTTCAAAGCTTCAAAGGACAGGCTGACTTTCTTGTTAGTGGCTAATGCATCTGGTGACTTTAAGTTAAAGCCAATCCTCATTTACCATTTGAAAATCCTAGGGTTTTTAAGAATTACGCTGAATCAGCTCTACCTGTGCTCTGTAAATGGAACTACAAAAGCTGGATGACAGCACATCTGTTTACAGGATGGTTCACTGAATATTTTAAGCCCACTGTTGAGAACTGCTCAGAAAAAAGATTCCTTTCATAATATTACTGCCCATTTGACAATGCACCTAGTCACCCAAGATTTCTGATGGAGATGCATAAAGAGATTAACATTGTTTTCATGACTGCTAATACAACATCCATTCTGGAGTCTATAGATCAAAGGTTAGTTTAAACTTCAAGGCTTATTATTTAAGAAATATATATCATTAGGCTATAGCTGCCATAGATAGTGATTCCTCTGATGGATCTGAGCAAGTAAATTGAAAACCTCTAGAAATGTTCTACCATTCCAGATGCCATTAAGAACATTCATAATTCACAGGAAGAGATCAAAATATCAGCATTAACAGGGGCTCATGACTTCAGTGAGGGAAGTAACTGCAGATGTGGTAGAAATGGCAAGAGAACTAGGAGTGGAAGTGGAGCCTGGATTTCATAATAAAACTTGAACATATGAGGATGTGCTTCTTACAGATGAGTAAAGAACATGTTTTTTTTTGTAGTGGAATCTACTCCTGGTGAAGACGTGAACATTGAATATTACATAAACTTAGTTGATAAAGAAGCAGCAAGATTTGAAGGAACTGACTTTAATTTTAAAATAAATTCTATTGCTGAAATGCTATCAAATAGCATTGCATACTACAGAGAAATCTTTTGTGAAAGGAAGCGTCAATTGATGCAGCAAACCTCATTGTCTTATTTTCAGAAATCGCCACAGTCACCCCAACCTTCAGCAGACACCACCCTGATCAGTCAGGCACCAGCAGCATCAAGGGAAGACCCTCCACCAGCAAAAAGATTATGACTCACTAAAGGCTCAGATAATTGTTAGTATTTTCAGCAATAAAGTATTTTAAATTAAGGCATGTACATTGCACACTTAATAGACTATAGTATAGTGTAAACATATCTTTTATATGCACTGAGAAATCAAAACATTCATGTGACTTGCTTTATTGAGATATTTGCTTCATTGCCAAGGTCTGGAACCTGCAATATCTCCAAGATATGACTGTATATAGAGTTCCGTGGCAATGGTTTACAGTGGTCACCAACGTTTTTGGCACCAGGGACTGGTTTCATGGAAGAAAATGTTTGCATGGATTGGGTTAGAGGGGCTCACGGGGATGTGATGATGGGGAGCAGCTGTAAATACAGATGAAGCTTTGCTCCCCCAACCCTCGTATGCGGCCTGGTTCCTAATAGGCCACGGACCATGCTGGTCCCCAGCCCAGGGATTGGGGACCATAGGTTTAATAGATTATGTTTAGTCTTTAAGCTTTTGTTTAATGGCAATAGGACATTTTAAATATTCATGATATTTAATAATGACTTCTGCCTTAAAAGTTTCTAAAACATTTAATAAAGTATATAATGTTTTTATATTTGCTCATTCAATCAGAAGCATTTAATGGGACCCTATTTTATATGTACCAGGTGTTGAGCTCATAGAAGAATCAGTTCCTCATTAAAGAAAAGGTAGTCTTTTAATAACCAAAAGGCATTTTCTGGTAATTAATATAGTCCCATGGTTTCTCATTTTAGGTTAAAGGGTTTTCATTGACAATCATCTTATACTTTTCTCTAAGAGGGAAAAGAACAATGATTTGAGCCTCTACATCTTTTTTACCCCTTGCTTTTTGTTTGTCCTTTTCTTCACTTTCTAAATAATGTATTATTTCTGCAGGTCAAAATTTCAGCTTTGTCGGTTGAAATTCTCTCTCAATATCTCAGGAAAGTAAGAAAAATGCTGCCTTTTATTCTGGTATTTTAAAATTATCTTTTTTGAATTACTTAACTCTGGTTTGTTCTCTGTCAGAAACAAAATCTACCTGCAATATGAATAAAATATTCAGGACTTTTTTTAAAATTAATAAACTTGTAGTTACAATTAGGCATAAAGGACAGCCATTGCTGTTTATCAATGCCCAGCTAATTAGTGAGTAAAAAGATTACAGTGAATGTTTTAAAAACTAGTATAATAGGAAGAAAACAAGCAGTTAACCCAGCTCTTACAACACAGCCATCCACTTTAACGGCCTCTTTAGTCGGGCATCCATCCTTGAAAGTCTCCAGTGGGCTCTGTTATAAAGTTAAGAAACACTGCCTGTGTATACTAATAAACAATGATGTGATTAAATAGCTTTGTGCATCAGTGCATTTTTTTCTGGATGGCAGTTCATAAATAAATCCCTGTGCTAACAGTTTATATAGTAAATGGAATCTATTAATAGGAACCTTGAGTAAAGTGGCCCTCCCATTTAGTATTAGATAGGAAAGCCACTAAAGAGGAGGATTCTTTCAGGGCCAAATAATTTGTTGGAGAATCTCTTTAAAAAGAGGGAATTCAGTTTCTATCATCTTTTCCAGATAAAATGAGTACATCAGTGATATACACATTTGAGGACACTCAGCCCATGGTATTTTCCTTACCTGAATGGATAAACTTTCTGGACCTCAAGTTTGTCCAGATGTAAATGAAAAGGTAGGAGAAAATGTGTTCTCAGCTCCCTTCCAGCTGCGACATAATATAAGCCAACATTAGAGCCTGGGGCAGGGATCATGGCCCCCTGCTTGGGCAATCAGAAATCAGGGTTGGGCAACCTGGTGAGGTGCTAAGGCAGCTCATACGGACTTGGGAGAGATATTTGCTAAATTTTGGAGAATTTTGTGAGCCAGCTGTTAAATATGGCCATTATTAAACTTAAAGGATATAAACTTAAAATTCAATAAATGATACCTTAAAAGGTATTAGCTATGTTCTTGAAGTTAGTTACACCTATTGCATCTGTATTGTGTAACTATTATTTAATACTATGTAATGTCGAGCTGCTGGGTATCTATCTCTGCTTTACTTGGCATTCAGTGATGTCATGTTGGAAGCTTGAAATTACCCACAGTGGGAGGATTTCCACCATGGAAACAGTCAAGTGTTACAAATTTAGAGAACTGGTTGTTAAACATTTACCAGCATACCACCAGGGTTGCCGGGCTGAGACCAAGGAAAGGAGGGAAGAGTGGATCTAAGTAAGGGAATCAGAGTTCCACTACCCGGCAGACTACATGATGTCTAGATAGGGCAGGTTCCACAAGAAATATTTTCACCTAGGTACACTGAGTCATATATTCCCTTTAGCCTAATACAAATCTGGTTCTGTGAATGAGAGAAGAAAAGAAGGAGGATTGGATAAGCGGAGTCTTAGACTGATAAAATAGCTCTAAGATAGTTTAGGTCGGGCCAGTGTGGAGTCTTTGAGCCAAAGTCACCTGTCAAAGGAGTCTTGCATCTCCCAGAAATGGGCCTTCCTACGTTTCCGCGCTGCACTCCATCATTGCCTGAGAGCAGCCTGTGGAAAGTGTGATTGGTGCCACGGCTGTGACGTAGTAGCAAAGGGCAAAGGCAGGGCTGGGAGAAGTGCAGGGAAGAAGATGGAGGGGCTGAAGGGAGAATGAAGACCAGCAAATAGTCTAAGTTGGCTGTAAGAGAGGGCTCATGGGAGCAAAGAATGGGCAGTGTTGAATGCAATTTTTCTCTTTAAAATGCATTGCTTAGTACTCTCTAGTGAAGCATACAGTGGAGATGCTCTTGACATTGAAAACCTCTAGAGCCAGCTCTCTCAACTGTGTGGATAAGTATCCAAGACCTGACTTGAGCCTTAAGGAAAGAAGGAATATTTTGTTAGACACACAGGTGCATATTATCCTATATCTCTTTATGTTACCAGCTTACTGAACTTGCAGCTGTCATCATGCATTATTGTAACTGTAGGATGAGAAGGAAGGAGCAACATTTCCAGTCACCTAAGAAGAATGCTGAGGAAGAACAAAACCAAAGGTGGCTTTAACAAGTAAGAAGAAGCCAACATTCATTCATTCAATCAATCAGTGTCTATTGAGCCCCTGCCGTGTGCCAGACACTATTAAGTATTCTGGTCATAGAGCAGTGAATCACACAGAAAAGAACGTGCCCTCATGGAGCTTGCATTCTCGTTGGAAAGACAGACAATAAATAAATTAACAAAATAGTTAAATAATGCGCCTTCACTAAGCCTCATGAAGTCCATCAAGCAGGGCAGCAGGATATGGGAGGATGCTCCTAGTCCTCATAGGTAGTCAAGAAAGGTTTTTCTTAAGAACTAAGCAGCTCTCATGACTAGAGCTTTCCCTTTTCTATTGACAGTAAAGTGACCCCCACTATTCTAGATTCCTTTGCTACGAAAAACTGCGCACCAACTAATACAACCTCCACCTTACGCTGACCCCGTTCTCTATGCACCACATGTTCAAAAGCATGTCGTAGAAACACTACATGTTGTAGACATTAGTTTCTTAGTTCCAAATAAATCTATATATTAAAAAAAATCCCCCCAATATTTTTGAAAAATTTTTTTAACCAAAAACCAAAAAAAGGGGAAACAAAAACAAAAGAATTTTTTTTTGAGTTTTACTTTTTTCTTTAAAAACCGCAGTTGCCTCTTTTATATTTTATCCTCACAGTATAATAAGTGTGAAAAAGATAAAATTTCTCATATTTTAGATGTATACAATTTAAGCATCATTATCTTGAATTATTAAATTCCATTTGGTTTTGGAAAATTAGTTAATATACAAAAAGTTGGGAACAGAAAGAACTAAACCCCTCTTCTTTTTTGTTACACAGAATATTTAGATACTTAATCTGAGGCAAAATACTTATTTTCACGTTCCTCTACCTTCACATATTGATATATTGATAAAATTATGTTTCGTCTTATCGTCAAGCCAAGTTTACCAGCCGCCCATACAAACTCGGTAATGAAAAAGATGACCATTAACTATAAAATCGATTTTACAACGTGACTCCAAACACTGGAATGTGGTGCTACATGCTAGCTCTGTCTTCTTCATAATCCTTTTCGGTGCACCAAGATTGATGGAACTCAAGCATGAAAGCCAGAGCTGAGCCTCCAACACTGTGTGTTACGTGCAGACTGTAGACTAAGGCCAAACGTGATGACTGTATCAGTACACATTGGCTTTAGTCTACAGTCTCTCAATTCTTCACCTTAATTTCCATTTGGCATTTACAGTTCTTTTCCAAACACTTGGGAAGCTGTGTCTCAAGTCTCTGACATGGTTGGATCTCCAGAGAGGACAATGTTTCTGTTCATTCTCCTGATTGTCCTGATGTCCAAGATGCAGCTAAAGCAAAACTGGCCTGCACATCTAGGTAGAATCCTAGAAAATGGAGAGGCTCAAACATTAGTTCAGCAATATATTCTATGTTTTATGGAGTATTCATTGAAGGTTACAAGAAATTAATGGACTTCAAGTTCTGATCTTAGGTTTTTAAAGATTACTTGTTCCATAAATTCTCCATTATATCCTAATAATCAAATATACCATGGCAGATTGGTCACTTTGTGGTATATTTGGATTTTTCTATTGCTTTATCATAAGTAAAAATGTCCAGGTCATCAACATAGGGGGAAGTACAAGATAAGCCAAGAGCCATACAAGGCTTCCACCAATTTTGTTTGTGCTTGATTTTTTTTTCTGATTCCTTCATAACAATTCAATAAAGTCTAATAAACAGAAGCCCTTTGCATTTGTAGTTTCTTATCCTGTGCCACTCCATGACATAGATTCCTTCTCCCCTGTTGCCACTCTGCCTGATCTATTCTAGTTGGGGTCCAAGATCTGAGGTAGAATGGAGTTGGAGCTATGAGCAATCTCCTGCTGGGTATCCATGCTGTTCTGGGGGAAGGGGCAGCTGGTGTCATGGAGGGACGATAGCAGGCAGGCAGGTACACAACCCACTTTGTCAGGCAGTCATCTCCCCCACCCAGCACGGCTTCCTCTCATTCCTGCTCCCACCCTACATTTCTCTATTCAATCTAATTATCTTTCCTTTATAAGCAATCTGTTAATTCTGCTTGACAATTTTAAGTTTGTTTTTCTATCTTTAGAGTTCAGAAATTTGACCAGGATATTATCTACCTCCATAATTTTTCATTGATTCTGTTTCATTAATACAGAAGAGTCTTTCATATCTGAAAGATATGAAAATTTGAGATTCACATTATGGAAAGGCATAGTTTATAAAAGTTTTCTTCTATTATTTAATTACTACTTCTCTATGGTTCCTTTTTTCTACCTCTTCTTCTAGATCAGCAACTATTTAAATATTGGGTTTCTTAGACTAGTTTTCTGTTTCCTCATCCATGAATTCCATTTTTGAAATTTTACTCTTGATTTCATTTCATCTCCTAAAACATGAATATGGTCTTGGCAGTTACCATATTATTTTTGTTTTCATGTTCCTCTATTGGATTTTTAATGATTTTTAATGATTGGGAAATCATTTTTATTTCCAGGAAAACCTCTGGTACTATAATTGTATCCTCTTAAGAGGTTTGTTTTACATAATCTTTTTTTTGAGACAGAGTTTCACTCTATACCCCTTGGTAGAGTGCAGTGGTATCACGGCAGCTCACAGCAACCTTCACCTCCGGGGCTCAAGCGATCCTCTTGCGTCAGCCTCCCGAGTAGCTGGGACTACAGGTATGCACCATAACACCTGGCTAATTTTTCTATGTTTTTTAGCGAGACCTCATCTCTTGCTCAGGCTGGTCTCAAACTCCTGAGCTCAAGTGATTCTCCTGCCTCAGCCTCCCAGAGTGCAAGGATTGCAGGTGTGAGCCACCGCACCCAGCCTCTCTTAAGAATTTTAATCATATTTTATCTAAGATTTCTTCCATTTTCTATATTAGCTCCACCTTCATAATAGAGGTTTATTGTAGTTTTCCGGTTTAGTCTCTTCTTTTATGGGGCTGTTATGTTCCTAAGTGGCTTGTGATCTTTTCCTGCCTATTCATGTTGATAGTGTGCTGGTTCTCAACACCTTTGTGGGACTCTCTGGTTCTTGTGTCTTGACAGTGGAGTAGGGATTTTTCCCTCAGTGGGCAGCCAGTGATCAGCCTGGCCCCTTTGTTGACGTTTAAGTGGCAGCAGACCTCTTGGTTCACAAGTCCAAGTAGATAGAGATAGGCTGACCTCAGCCCAACGGGGAAACTACCCCTCATAAGGGGCCACCATCCAAGGGACAGTTAGCCTCTTTCACTGCTGTATAAAGCAAACAGCAGGGACATTTCTCCCTCACTTTCTCTGTGTGCCCACCCAAGTCAGCTTCCTTCCAACCCCCTCAACTCCCAACAATTCCCATTTACATCTTTACCCTCCACCTGCACCTTCTTTCAAAGACTTGATTGATGTCTCACTAAATGAAGAACCTCTTCAGGTGGCCAGGATCAGCCCTTGACTTTTTCTGGATGACCACATTCAGAAATGGGAATGTGAGGCCAGGTCGCCAGCTTCCCAGAAACCCACATCCAAATGTTTTAAAAGCATTTCTAATTCTTAGGAAGAGAACATTTTACTGGAAGATAAAATCATATTATTGCTTTCCTAAATTAGTTCTCTAGAAATAAAATATGTATGAAATATTGAATAGTATAAAAGTATATCTGGATATTGTCATTCAAATGTATAGCTGTATAATATTCTTTAAATGCTCACTTTTGATTTGCTAGTCCCATCATTGATTTGGTTATTGCAAACTGGTTCATATTATTAGCTAGTTTTCCATATTAGTAATGTTAGCTAACATTTACTAGGTGTCTATTATGTGCCAGGCACTGAAGTGTTTGCATGTATAAGGTTATTAAATTCTCACAAAACCCTCTGAAATAAGTACTATTAATATTCTTTTCAAGGCATTACAATATAGAAACTAAAGTCTTGAGAGGTTAAGTAGCTTATGAAAGTCACACAGCTAGTAAGATGCTTTATTTACCAACGAAATAATGAGCAACTTGAAAATAGCTCATGACATACACTTTTCTGCATTCCCTACTGTGCTTAGCCTGCAAGGCCCCCAGCAAATAAACAGCTACTGAAAGAAGAGACAATGTGGTTTTTTTTACCCATATTTGATCCCTAGAACACAGTGCTATAAGGCAAATGCTTCAAAAATGTTTTACTTATAAATGAAAGCATTAACAGGCACTGAGATTTAGAAAGCAAATCCACATAAGATCACCTAACGCTATTTACAGAAGTCTTGACTTTCAGCCACTAACCTGAGTTCCAGGGATTCAAATATGAATAAAATATTTCCTCTGTCCTTAAAGAACAAATAGTCTGGAGAAGAAGCACATACACACACAAATATAATAAAATATGATTATTTTTAAGCTGTACATGTAAAGTGCTATGGGGCCACACATGAAAAGCATATTAATTTTTCTCACAGGATCATAACTTTTTTCCTTTCATTAATTAATAGTAGAATCTGATATAGAAAGAAACACTACTTTGGAGTTTTTTTTATTAGAAAGTTTATTGCATTAATCTATAATCTCATTTGGTGATATAAATGACAATGTAGGCAAATACTGATGAAAGTTTATCATCTTTGGAAAATAGAGATATTTCAACACTAAAAACATTTTTTTTGTTGTTTGCTACAACCAGGTAAATCCTAATGAATTTTGATTTTTTTCTTTTTAAAAATATAGTTTGCAATTCATTCATATCAAAATGAAGCCTAGGTTAAATACTGAATAAGCAGACCCAGTGGCAGGACACCGATATTAACAGGACTCTAGAAGGGCAGTTTGCTGTACATCTTTAGTTAATCGACAAGCACCCATCCACACCATGTGATCTGCACTTGCTTATCTATGTACACTTTCATGACATAAAGCCTTTAACACCAAAATATCTCTTAAGTATTCAGTTTGAATAATGAAGAGATTTTACCCAGAGATAGAAAATTCATTATCTAAAAAAAATAACCTTAAAACTTAATTTTTTAATCATTTTATTTTAAGCATAAAATGGACTTCTAATAATGACAAAAATTGCAAATGGTATTATGATATTCTTGTTCAACTTTTATAATATTTATGGTTTAAAAATCTCAATAATTGACAACTACTGTGGCTCTTTGGGGTCAAGATGAATACATTTTCATAAACTGTTTCATTTCTCGCAACACACAGTCATTGTGCTAATGGATTTGGTTGGGGCAAATATAACTGTCCTATTGTAGAACTCTATGATTGGTTTTCCTGAAATTGGTGAATAAAAATTCCATAAAGGTAATGCCAAATACATTAAACTCTGTTAACATTATTACTATGTCATAGAAGAATTAATGTCAAGCACTATAAAATAATTATGAAATTATCCTTATCATCATATAATTAACTACAAATAACATATTCTTTTTATTAAAGCAAATATATGAGTTATCATTTGGATAAGTTCTGATGTATTTATATATAAATACCAATAATTTATACATTTTCTGATACATCAAGTTCTAAGGAAATAATAATAGTTTGGCTGACATTTCTTTATGAATGGTTTTTGCCTATATGAATGGTTTCTCACATTCCTATATGAATGACATTCTTATGTGAATGGCAAAGGAAATGAATGATTTTCATATAGGAAATCATTTTATAAGAAATTTCATTCCTGTATGAAAATCATTCACTTCCTTTGCCATTACAGGACATATGGGAGAAATTAATTTTAGGGTCCAAAATTAATACGGGTTCAAAGATCATGAGAATAGATTCACTTTGTATGAAGAATGACACTGCCATCAAATTACATTTGATGTATCTGAGAAAGTTCCTAAAGGTGGTAATAATTTCAAGGGAAAAAATTTGCCAGGGTTCTTTTGTCTTTTGTTTAATTCTCATTCTGACAAAAAGTAATCCTCTTTATCCAAATCTATATCAAAATACCTAGAAAATTTTGCCTTCTCAACCAGACCTCTCCAAATGCAACATGTCATATTATAATATCCAAATGTCTATGTGAGTTCTGATGTCTGAAAGTCCCGAGTGAACTCTGATAAGAATTGCCTCGGGAACAATGTTTCGGGACATCAGCCAGCCCGGGCAATTTATTTGTCAGAATGCATAGGAAGGCCTGGCGACAGCCCTTTGGAGTTCACATCTGTTGCTCAGGTTTTCTACCTAAGTTTCTGTTGCCTTTGTACATGAAGCTTTCATTTTGAAATAGTGGAATAAGAAAAGAAACTAATGTTTTCTTTACCTATCTCCAGGGAGCATCAGGGAAACTCAGTTTACCATAGAGCTCTAAAGGGATGATCCTTAAAAAGAGAAGGGGGAAATGTCTTATTTTTTTTTTCTTACCAAAAAGGACTCGCTGTGGCTACTGACTTACAAGTGTCTCAGTGAAATGCCTATCCTCTGGAGTCAAGGGTCAGCCAGTGGTTAACTATTCGAATAAATCAATTGTTTCTAAGGTGTGTTCCAGGTAATTCTTTATTTCCTTGAATTGACTCTGGAGTTCCTTAAAAGAAACAGCCATCAAAGGAGTGAGTGTTATAAGAGTGTTTGTTGTATTATGCACCTGACCAAACCACCATCATAGGTGCAGGTGCGTGACATGAAATAACTAGATATCCCAACTTGATGACTGGCAGGGACAATGCCTTACGTATGCTACCGGCAGATGGATGCACTCTACACACTTGCCAATGGACTCACTGAAACAGAATGCCATATAGGGTATCATGTCTTCAAAAGATTGAAGACCACTGTTTTCTCTTACGAAGTTGCTTCCTTATTCAGCCTTTCAGCCCTTCTACTGCTTGTTGAAGTAGATTAAAAAAAAAAAAAAGTGAAACTGGCTCTCTTGCCTCATGTCAGCATGCTCATAAGACAACTTCCTTGGAGTGAAAAATATTATTGCATCAGTATGCACAGGATGAGCATCCACCCTGATTTGCCTAGAACAGTCCAGATTGAAGTCCATAGCAGGACAATTATTAATAATGCCCTTATTTACTCTCAAGAGTGTCCCAGTTTGAATGATCAGTTATATATATGGTCACAATAATGAAGGTTTTTAGGAAGATGAGTCTGTAATACTCAGTGACAATGTTTCCTTCCTGTTCCCCTTCTCCCTAGTTTAACCAAGACTCAGGGAACCAAGAGATCAAAAAGAACTCCATTTTGAAATATTAAAAAGCTTCTCTATTTCAATCATAAGCCAATCACCTATGGTTGCTATACTATTTTAGTAATGACCAACTTTAATAGATTCCAATTATATATTTTCATTTCTTCCTTCCAAAAGAAAAAAGAACAATGCATTTTTATCAAGCAAAAGATGAGTGGTAATAATACAAGAAACAGGGAACACATATAATAGTTTTTTCATTAACAACCCAAACACTACAAAACATAGAATATACAACTTAAAAATGAAAATACAAATTAATGAAAAACGGGGTACATGTCATATTAGCAATGCAAAAGACCAGCTTAAGCATAGTTTCTCTAAACCAACAATTAATAAAAGAAAAGTGCCCTTTTCTCAAATACACACAAAAATATTTCAGTCACTTATAGGGAAAGATTAATCAAAACTTTCTGCTAATTCTATATTACAGCATGTTTACTAACGGTTTACAAAACTTAAGCATCTTCTTATACTTAAAATTTACAATCTTTACCAATCATTACATACTCATTAATCCAGTCTGTCAAAAATAAAATTATTTCATTTCTATTTGTTATGAAATAATTATTGATATGTTATGAATCACAAGTGGTGAATAACTATGATGGGGACAGTGATCAGAATAATGTAACGAATCTAAAGTGGGATCAAATAGAAAAGGATCAAAGGATCAAATAGAAAAACCACCTCTGCCTGGCACATTTGTGTATTGACTTCTGCAATACTTCTAATATTTCTAAAACAATCCTAATTGTACATTTTCCCACTCTAAACAAAATCTAAGATTTTCATATTTATATTTTCTGTCCACTTCTAGAGTTTATTCCAAGTCTATCCAGTCATGCCACCAGAAAGAACGTTTCCTCCTGCATTCATAGTATCCCTACAAGTCTGAGTCCGGATGAAAAAAATTAAGCAATAAGGACTCAATAATATGCCCTTTTTCTTCTGCATGTTTAGTGATTCCTACTTTTATGAAGTAAATTCTATGAGAAACTGTACGATCCTAGGTACAGCTCTATGATGCAAATGAGAAATAAAACATTTACATTTTAATTTTTCAAGCAACAATACCAATGTCCACTGCAACCCGTGTCACCGAAGGAGTTCTGCAAGTTCATGCTTTTAGCCAACATTTTACAGTAAGTCATGCTTCACGGGTGCAGTTCTAAAACTAACAGCCATGGGAACTCAAGTCACTATCTCCTTCCACGCCACCACCTGTACAAGAAGCACCTACAGTCGGTGTCAGCCTCTGCTTTGAGTTTTCTGGTTCATGTCCAACAATTGCCTACCAAATTGGTCAACATTCACATAAGGTGGCAAACTTGAGGATGGAGAAGAAGCAAACTGCAGTTCTGGAAAGGTTTCCAGTGGCTACCAAGCAAGTCCTTTGGTGTCATTCGCTGCTGCTGCTGCTGCTGCTGCTGCCACCATCCTCTCCCTTCGTGGAAGAGGAACTATCTCGGACTGGCAGCAGGTCATAATGACAAGGGATGTGACTGTTCTTTGGGAGGTCGTATGGATCCTGGGTGAGATGCCCATTATTGCTGAATATTCCTTGGACAACACTCACTGTAGGTTCTGTGATAACCAAGGACACATTAAATTATCAGTAATGGAAAATTTTTTAACAAAGAATATGGCATTTCTTACAAATATCAAACACACAAAAGGAATTTTTCTAAAAATATAAGAAAATATTGGTTTTAAAAACATGATTCCTTTATAATCACACAGGGGTGGCAACTCTGTGACTGCTGGGCTAACTGACATGCACAGATAGTGTTCAGAACAAAAGGATGGCCACATGGCTGGGTGGGACCACATCAAGGGGATATACAGAAACCGTGGATATCAGTCACTGTCTGAAAAACACTTTGGGGATAATCTAGTCCAAACGCTTTATTCTACAGGTGAGAAGACTGAGGTCCTTCAAGGTTAACTCAATTCATGGAAACATTCAACAAGTTCTCAACTTTAGGACTCCACACTCAAATTTTCAGCTGAGTCCCCATTCTACTGTGGCAGGCTTTGGGGACAGTTTAAAGGAGAATTGTTACTGACTTTTCAAAAATAAAGTTAGTTCACTCTGGCTTCCATTTTTAAAACTTGTCTTAATACTTTAAAAATGAATTGTTTTACAGATATTTTTCAGCGACATGTCTAGCATGAAATGAATTACTAGTGATAAATTAGCCACTTCATTTAAGCTGTAGAGAACTTTTAAAAGTCAAAGTCATAAATACTAACAGAGATATAGGAAGAGGTGAGTGAGAGAGAGAGAGACAGAGAGAGAAAGAGAGAGAGAGAAATAATTAAAATACACAGCCCTACTACCTAGCCAATGGTGGTTCTGGTATGCTTTATCATTTCCCAAATAGTATTTGCAAAGGGCAATCAAAATAATTCTAATTTTAAATTGATTTCTTATTAATTTGTATCAGATTCACATCTGAGAATATTACTGATATATCAGATAAGGTTAAAAGTAAAATGTTTCCTGCTATAACTATTTTATTAGTATAATGAATACAACCAGGAAATGGAACCACCTGTTTAATCCACTTGGACCATTTGTTTTGGCTACTTAGCTATATTAGCTAATGTGACATATGCTTTTCTACATGTGTGCTAAAGTACTCACTATGGTTACAAAACAAAAGACGGACGACGGGGTGGAAAATAAGCAATGTTTACTTTAAATTTTCTAAATGGTATTTTCCTTGAACAATTTGAAACCAATTAATATGATCACTGCAAACACAGATTGCAGCTTAAATATGAACCATTACTTTCCATAAGAGTTATATGAACTGCAACTATTGTATTCCCAAATACTTTAAATTCCTTAAAAAATCTTATGCACTAGGTTCTTTCTATGGTTAGGAGAACTCACCAACTTCATAGACATTCTTGTTGGCTGAAGTTGAGTTATTGATCTCTGCATATGGGGAATCTCTTCGTGCCGGTGATTTCATCTCCACATAGCCACATTCTGAGGTTTTTGGGATAAGTACAGGTGGGTCTTTAATAGTAGCATATGGGTTTTCAGAACTGCTGAGGGAGCAGGTACTGGAATTATATTCAGAATTCTTCCCTAGGTCTGTGAAGAGAAATGGGAAGAAAAAGCAAATGTTGTTTCATGGCAACATCATTTCTCTATGATAATTTACTTGGGCAGGTTTCTTCTTTTTCTTTATAGCTAGGTCCCTATAAATATACACAATGAAAACACTACTATACCTTTTCTGCTTATTTTGGAGAGAATCTGCTACAGAATTTCTCATCTATAAAGCAATTTTAGCACCTCTCTAAAGTGAGCACCAATGTAAATATCATGGATCTGATTTCGTTTTGATGATCACATTCCAGTGTAATTAATTCCATTTTATTTTACTAATGGAAAATGTACTAATTGAAGCCTTTGCGATCAATCAAGACACCAGCTCCTGATGGCCCCAGAAGCACTGGGGGGGAGGGGGTTATGACCATGGTGAGAAGGCGTTTGTACTGGGAGAGTTCCTTGTGAAGCCTCAGTAATGGCCACTTATAGCTCAGACTCACCCTCAAGAGCCTACCTCAGTCAACATGTGAACGCTGATCTTTTATTGCTTTCCCTGCTATTTTCGTTTTTACATATCTCTCTCCCTATAAGGCTATTTCTTTAATTGAATCTTTTGTTCCCCAAGACTTAAGCTCTAAGAAGATCCACCTTTGGTCACTCTCTTGCCGTCAGTCAAACATGTCTGTGTGTTTGGTGTAGTTATTTAGCAAGTCCACATTTCCTCTACGCTGCCACTCTAGCTTGTTTAAAAAATATTTCAGTCTCCGAGATAAAATATTTTTTTACAAAATTGTGATTCTGACATATGTATTTCTTCCTCAAATTTACACCATACCTTTTAAGGATTTTCCCAGATAGCTTCTATCAAGTCCAAAAGCACCTGGGATAGAGGAAGAAAAACACCCAGTGAGAACTTAAGGGAAGAGAATTCCCAGGGCACGGAGGAGGGTCTCCCCACTGCAGCGGACAGTCAAGGCTGCTGCTTTTCCAGCTTTTACACCACGTCAGTTGTGCCGGATGTCCCCAGTGTTTAGAATTGCACACACACTCTCTCCAGTCATTCACAGTGACTTTGGGAGAGGCTGATCAAAACGGGGTAGAAACTGAGGCACAGAGATGAATCAGTATGCTCAATTCAAGGTTGTACAGTAAAAAGAAAGAACACAGCTAAGACTAGAACTGAAAATTCACACTCATGTGCAGATCTCTCAAGGCTCTGATGGTTTTCAAATTACCACTATTATTCAATTATAGTATTGCCCTCACTATAAGCATGTTTCCTAGAGACTGGAAGCTCCAAACACTGCGACTAACACTTAACAGGCAATACCAGCTCTTGGCCATCCTTATTCAGTTTTTATTTTAATGATTTGACTTTTCCAGGTATGGGGGCATACTTGTGTATGAGCCTAGACAGTTCCCTTGTTTTAAAATGACTGGCCTTTATTTTTGAGGATCAAGAAAGAAACAGGAGTGTTTCTGCTCACACTGGGAGAAATTAAGTATGTAAGCAAGCGAGAACATGCAATCACTTATGGAAATCAATAGGTCACAAGAATATTCTATAAAATATAAGCATTTAATCATTTAATCACAGATTCATAATATTACCAAAAGAGTAAGAGGACATTACCTAGCCCACTTTATACCACTTGGTATATAAATGATAAATTGCATTATTAATACTGCATAGGAATCAAGGATTCTAATGGAGTTGTGTTTTGACAAACAGGACAAAAGCCAATAGATTAGGAAACAAAGGACTTAGATTTCATCACTTATTAGCCATATGACTTAGGGCAAGATGTTCAACTTTGTGAGTGTCAATATTCTCATCTCTACAATGGGGAAAATAAAACTTGCCTTCCAGCTTCACGGGGCGTTACCACCATCAAGTGAAACAGAGAATACGAAAAGGCTTTGTAAACTTTGACGCACCAGACAAATTAGTAGTGTTGCGATTACTGTAACACTTAATGTGTCACATGAGTCTCAGGTTCAGTCTATCTGTAACCATTCCAAGGCATTTTCAATGATCTTTTTAAAAAAAGTTACAGACTTGGGTTAAAAGCAGAGAGCACAGCACTGATGTGTGACGAACATTCCAAACAAGCCTGACACCTTGCCATGGGGCATGCAGCTCTTAGCTCGATGTGCAGCTGCTCCAGTTCCGATGGTGCTGTTTTGTGGGGACCACAGAGTGAGGACACGCTGCTGTGGAGAAAGCAGAGAGGCTCCCCGACAGGGAGAGAGTGTGCAAAACCTCATCACTGCGGACAGGAAATGGGAATGTTTTCCCCTCTCCAGTCTGGGTGGTGAAGAGTTTAGCCAAGCTCCCAGCCAGGGGGAGAGGCACAGGGTGACACAGGGAGGTGGGATAAGTGGGTGGGTAGCACAGAAGTCCCCTTACCAAAGAGAGGTTTGGCCTCTGCTGAGGGGCTTCTGAGAGGTAGCTCAGTCCACAGAATGCCCTGCCCAGTGGGAGTGTTTTGTTTACCTGGGGGCCAAGGGCTACCCTGAATGGTGGGACAAGGTAACTTATCGTAGGGGTTTGGGCCTGTGGCCTTCTGGAGGGGCAGAGACTAAAGGTTAACCGCACGAGCAGTCTAGCATGTCTACACGACCAATCCCCCAGAACCCTGGATCTGAAGGCTGAGGTGAGTTTCCTGGCCGGCAGTTCCCTGTGGGTGGTCACACATTATTGCTAGGGAGGTCAGCACTGCCTGTGGCGCCACTGGGAAAGGACAAGCAGAAGCATCGTGCTCTGAACCTTCCTGGACTCTGCCCATGTGTCTCTTCCCTTGGCTGATTTTAATCTGTATCCTTTTGTTATAATAACTATCTCCATGAGTGTCACCATTCAGTGAATTCTGAGAGTCCTTCTAGCAAATTCCTGATACATAAGGTGGTCTTGGCGAGCCCTGAACTTGCGGTTGATGTCAGAAGTGAGGGTGGTCTGGGGACTCCCAGGCTTTGCAAGGAGACTCCGTGAAGACGGGGCAGGGCCTGTGGGCTTGACAGCAGCCTGCTCATGGAGCTCTGCCTCTGCTGTTCTTTGCCTCTCTGGTAGCAAACCCTTGCGTCTAGCCGTGCAGTGGCTTGCCTTCCCCGGGGGGTTAAGGGGAGAAGCAGCATGGAGTAGGTAGTAAGTTGAGTTGATAGGAAGAAGAGCTGGGGCTGTGAGACCAGCCACCCCTGCCAGATTGTCTCTGCTCTGCCTTGGAGCACTGGAGAGCTATCTTAACAAGGGAGCAGGCGAGCTTCCTCATAAACTCCTCTATGTACCAATCCTGAGCTCAGGGCTTCCAGATTCTTGGTTTAATCTAATTCACACAAGAAGCCAGTACACGCTCATTACCCCCATTTTACAAATGAACAAATCAACTCTGACAGGGGAAGCGATTGGCCCAGTGCCATATCTCAGGGCTTCGTGTGTCAAGCTCAGGGCTCTTCCAGATGCCGTCACGACTGCTCCATCACTCTACACGCCTGCACGCTTCATCATCCACAGCTTGCCTGTGTTCTCTGTGAGGAACAACTTTTGTGCAAAAGCTTTAAAGGGCCACTAAATGCAGAATTGCTCTGGGGTGAGGATAAACCAAAGAGATCTGGGGAGGATCAAGATGGTGGACGAGAAACACCGCCAGACAGAGTATCTCTGCAGAGAAGACAGATTCTAGCAGAAATTAGAAAAAAAAAAGCAAGAAGACTAGCATACAGCGGAGGAGGGCCGGAAGGAGGGGTACCTGAGACCCTGGGAGAGTCCACGGGAGGAGGCTGCGGAGGAGAACTGGAAGCTGAGACCGCCGAAGTAGCCCGGAGACCAGCGGGAAGGATGGGTGGATCTGCCTTTTCCCCTCCCCTGCATCTGGGACTGCTGGTGGGCTCCCCAGCGAGTGGAGAGACCTGTGGACATCAGCCCAGAGACGGCTGCCGCCAGCTAGCGGTGAGCCTGTAGCGGACGCGGCACCAGGCTCTCAACTCCCTCCGGGCACCTCCGGGTGCACAGACCCGAGTGGGTGGCAGGCGCCATATTGCCTCCTTCTCCCCTCTGCCCACCCTACCCGCGGCTGCCCAGAGAGACAGTACAGCCACCAGCCGGAGGCACCTCCAGGGAACGGGACCTTCCCTTTTGGGACCTTACAACTGACTAAGGGGAACTCAGACTGTGAGCTCCCTACCCGCCAGCCCTCCCAGGTGCTGCTGGCACGGTGATCCCAGAGAACGGGGCAGACCCTGAGGCTGAGAGACATAGACCCAGCTTGGGCTTCCTGTGGAAGAATTGGGACCAGCACTCCTCACCTTGGTGGGCATACAGTTTGAACTCTGGGACCCAAGGTCGGACCTGCAGACAAGATCCTGTGCACCAAGGTCTAGCATAGCCCGGGGCACAGAAGGGATATATGTGAACAGCCTACTGAGGTGTGTGTGCCATCAGGGGCAGATCAGCATCCTAGAGGGCAACCCTCCTCCCAAAAGGAGGCCGTACGCCTGGCCCAGGTGGCGTTTCTGCGCAGGGAACCACCCCGCCGGCATCACAATCCGGAGAGGCCTGGTGGCGTGTGGTCTGGTCTGCTGGCAGAGGCCCAAGAGTAGCTGCGGAGTTGGGGAGGGTGGAAAGAAGCAAGGCCCGCACTAGACGGCGGGTCTCAGACAGTCCCACCCCCACAAGCAGACTTTCTGGCTGAGTGGGGCCATTCCAGCCCCGCCCTGACAGCTTTTGCTGGAAGCAGAGAACAGAACTTTGACCCCTGCTAACAGCATTGGTGGTGCCTGAGGGCAGGCTTACCCAACCCAGGTCTGCCCAGAACAAGAGCTGATAACAGGACACAAAACCAACAGCATAGCCTGTTCCTCCAAGCAAGCGCCACCTACTGACAGGGACGGCATTCTGCACAGCCTTTCACGCCA